CCAATGTTCTTCTAGGTTGGGGTAGAAAATGGGCAACAGTTTGTTTAGTCCCATGAAGAGTTATTTCTGCATGTTACTCACTGGAGTAAAAGTTGCATGAAATGCACACATACCAGGTTCTATTAATAATAAGATCACCTAGCTCTTATATAGTGCTTTTCATCGGTAGATATCAAAGCATTTCACAATCTTTAATGCATTTGTCCTACAAACACCCCTGTGAGATAGGAAGTTTTACTATCCCCATTTTTAGAGATGGAGAACTGAAGCACAAGATCAGACAGGATGTCTGTGACAGAGCAAGGAACTGAACTAGACCTCCCAAGTTCTAGGCTAGTGCCCTAACCACTAGACCATCCTTCCATTTTAAAGTATATAAAATGTCAAATACCATTGCTGACATATCCCACACACTTCACTACAAAGAAAAAACTAACTCCCAAAAAACTACAGTATCATCCTGAGAGCACTTTCTCATGCAAGTACCTTTACTTATGTGAGTTCTAGGGTATGCACGTGTTTTTCCAGAAATACATCTTATGTACTTACAGGCATACACAACTGACCTAACTTCGCAATCAGATCTAAGAAAGCTGTACGATAAAATTATGTCAGGGTGGGGTATAAATGCATCATATCTGTCAAGTCATCTTTCACTTTTCCAGTTTTTTTAGTGTCATTTAAAATGGATATTCATGCTCCTATAACCCAACAAGGTTTCATGTTTACATAGGTAAGAGTTGTGAATTTTGAATGAATTATATCTATATTCAGAAGGTGATTATTACTATTAAATAAGAAAGCCAGATTTATAAAACTAATTATGGCACCTGCACAGTACACTGTACTCCCCACACCATCCCCATAAAAATGTAAGATTTTTTTTTTTTTTTAGCAAGCAGATATACTGCAACTATAACACATCACTACAATCACACTGTAACAACTCAACATTACTGTAGTCTAGCAGATCAAACTATTGTAAGTAAGACTTAAAGAAGTAAATCACAACTGTCTCCAGGGAAGGTGTTACAAACTAGGCCCCAATCCTGCAAAATTTAAGTGTGTGTAACTTTATGCATAAGTAATTCAACTGAATTCGATGGCACTACTCATGTGCATAAAATTACATATATGCTCACATCTTCACAGGACTGGAGCCTTAATTAATAAATAACCCTGTGTGCGAGAGACAGGCAAACAGAAAATCTCTTGTTTAGTCCATAGGAAAACTATTTCCTTCTGCAACCGAATCACTAGAATTACAGGAGGGGATGTACTACTATATATTATTCAGGTTTCCTAACACTTCCCATTAGAACACCCTGTTTTCAGTTGCTTATAATTTTGCCAAACTTTAACACCTTGGGATGAAATTTTCAATGCAAGGGGTCTGACTCGGCTGAATTTTAATGGAAAATTCCACCTAAAGCAGTTCAGCCATTGCTAAGAACAAGGCTAAGGAAAAATATATTGTTATGCTCACGTTAAAAAATTCTTGTGACCTTCGGAGCAGGGACTTGAAATTTGTATGGGGAATAGCCTTTGTGTCAGGAATGTGATTTTTGCTATCCCCGTGAAAATCCACCCAAATTTGGCTCAGAGATAAGCCTTGAGGGTGTGGGGGGAGACCACAGTTCACACATGCTTAGTAGAGACTTCTTAGATTTTAGCAGCTAAATCCCAAAGATTCCATCCACACAGGGCATGCTCCAGCCCAAGGCTGAGCAGGACTTTCCCTGCAACCACAGCTCTGGACCATGCTAGGTCTGGTCACCTGAACCGAGGGTGGGGAGGCTGTCACTCCTGAGCTTTCAGGGTACATCTACACTTCGAACTGGGGGTGTGATTCCCAGCTCAAAGAGACATACCAACGCTAGGTTTGATTGAGCTGGCCAGCTAAATATAGACTTCAGCCATGGTAGTGCCACCAGCGGAAGGGGCAAGTTGCCCTGCATGTGCACCTAGCTTCTCCGATGGGTACATACGTGGGATGGCTAGCGCCACCTGCTGCTCAGGCTGCTGCAACTACAGTTTATTTTTAGCATGATAGCTCAATCAGACTCATAGACAGACTTTAAGGCCATAAGGGATCATCATCTAGTCTGACCTCCTGCAAATTGCAGGCCACAGAACTTTACCCACCCACCCACTGCTGAAATAGACCCCTAACCTCTGGCTGAGTTACTCAAGTCTTCAAATCATGATTTAAAGACTTCAAGTTACAGAGAATCCACCATTTACACTAGTTTAAACCTGCAAGTGACCCATGACCCATGCTGCAGAGGAAGACGAAAAAACCCAGGGTGTCTGCCAATCCAACCTGAGGGAAAATTCCTTTCCAACCCCACATATGGCCATCAGTTATACACTGAGCATGTGGGCAAGACCCATCAGCCAGACAATGGGGAAAGAATTTGCTGTAGTAACTCAGAGCCCTCCCCATCTAGCATCCCATCACCAACCATTAGATTTGCTGCAGGCAGCCACACCTCAGCTACATGCCATTATAGGCAGTCTTGTTATACCATCCTCTCCATAAACTTAACAAGCTCAGTCTTGAAATGAGTTAGGTTTTTTTGCCCCCACTGCTCCCCTTGGGAGGCTGTTCCAGAACTTCACTCCTCTGATGGTTAGAAACCTTCATCTAATTCACCAGACCTAGGGCTGGTATGTCTCCTTGAGATGGGAATCAAACTCCCAGCTCAAAGTGTAGACATACCCTCAATGATCAGCATGAGGAGAAAGCTTCTTGATTTTAATGAAGAAGGGAGAAGAGCTGGACCCATGGGAGGGGAAAGGGAAGTAGATTGGGACAGGGAGCCCAAAACTGGCACTGAAGGCTGGCATGGGGGGGTGTAGAGAGAAACAGGGAGATGGGGTGGGGGGGGACTGGGATCCAGGAAGAGAAACCAAGGGGTAAACTGGGAGCTGGGGTGGGGGGGCAGGAAATGAGATTAGATGAGGAGCAGGAGCAACTGGGACTGGCTGGGCAAGGGGACTGGGACTGAGAACCAGTAGGGTGGAGGAGAGAGATTTGACAAGGAGCAGGGGGGAGGGGGGAAGCTCTGTGATTCAGCAAGGAGGTTGACTTCAAGCCAGGGTGGGGAAAACAGATCAGATGAGCACCTGGGAGGAGGGAACTGGGAATGGCTGGGCAACAAGACTGGGTGAGGACTGGAGACTCCAGAGAGTTGAGACTTACACTCCCCTCCAGAGCCTGGAATGGAGCCCAAGATTCTTGAGTCTCACCATTCCTCTGATGTCAGCAAACATCTGTAAAACCCACTGGCAAAGTATCCCACTCCCTTTTAGTGCTGGTCCACAATAGAGGATGACAACCTACTAGTTCTATCAGTAACTCAGTTAGCTCAAGTGGCAGGGGTCCTTGTGGGAGAATCTAAAGCAGGGGTTCTCAAACTGGGGGTTGGACCCCTCAGGGGGTCATGAAGTTATTACATGGGGGGGTCCCGAGCTGTCAGCCTCCACCCCAAACCCCGCTTTGCCTCCAGCATTTATAATGGTGTTTAAATATATTAAAATGTGTTTTTAATTTATAAGGGGGGGTCGCACTCAGAAGCTTGTTATGTGAAAGGGGTCACCAGTACAAAAGTTTGAGAACCACTGATCTAAAGGTTCCAACCTTGCTGATGACCCAAGTGAGTGTAAATATGATGCCACATGATAGAAATTCTGTTTTTTCTATTTGCTTTTTTGAAAACCTAGGAAATTATACAGAACCAACAACAACAGATTATTAAGGTTGTTACAGAGACAAGGTGGGTGAGGTAATATCTTTTATTGGACCAACTTCCAATAAAAGTTGGAATGAAGTTCCAATGAAGTTGATCCAATAAAAAATATTACCTCACCCACCTTTTCTCGCTAATATCCTGGGACCAATACAGCTACAACACTGTAAGCAAATTATTAAGGATACAAAGTCAAGCACTCAAAAGTTAGGAACTGCTACAATATAAATGGTCAAACACCACTATCAACATATCCCAGAAGCATCATTACCAATAACTATACAATAGGAGTGTAATTTTGTAAACACAAAAACACACACACAATCACTTCTTATGGGATCCAATGGATAAACCAGACAGATTTTTAAGAAGTGCTGAATTGTATAATTACACAATATTCTTAGAGTTCTTACTGATTTTCAAGCAAAAGTTATGTTTTAAAACAAGTGAAAATTATGCATTTGCAAAAGTCTACAAAATATCAAGTAATCACAAAAAACTGGAAGTTTTCAGACTAGTTATTAGGGGATTTTCTTTTTCTTTGTCCATTTTTTTAAAAATCAACACAGATTCAACTGCAAATTACTACATTAAAAATACATATGCTATTCCTGAGCCTCAATTTCAGCTTCAGCGTGAGCCATCAATCCAGGCTGAATGCTTCAACCCACATCCAAGGACAAATGTCAAATCACGGAGCCCTGCCCCACATGGGACCTCAATCCCTTTCCCCTGCTGGGTAAAAACTGCACCAGTCCCATCGCTTTTATCCACCGTTTCTTTGCTTTGTTGGCAGTGGATTTTTTTTTTTTTTTTTAAAGACCCATCAATCACCGGACCCATATCCTCTTCTAAGGGCTGTTTACGGGGACCACCCCAGATCACCAACGGACCCAGACACCTGATTTCCACCCCCACCTCCAAGAAACTTCAGCCCAAATGAAGCAGCCCCCGGTGCAGGGATGTGACTGCTGGAGACCGGGCGCCCACAAGCGAAGCAGGGGCGGAATATCCCCAGCCAGCCCCCTGCCCGTCCAGCCTGGGGCAGGGGAGGAAACGGCCCCGGCAGCAGCAGCTGCTCACACGCGGGGGTGGGGGGTTACTGCAGGGTTTGCTCAGCAAAGGTTTCGCCAGAGACACCCCCCGGGTGGCTTCCTTCGCCGGCCAGGCAGGCCCCACGGGCGGCAGCTCCAAAGCCAGAGCCCGGCCCCGCTGCCGCGGGCGGTGGCTGGAGGGGAGCCGGGGTACCTGGAGAGCGAGTCCACGCTGGGCTGGCGGGCTGCAGCCGGCCTGGAGCCGAGGCTCTCGCAGCTGGAGCTCTTCTCCATCGCGGGCGGCGGCGGCGGCTGCGAGCGGGGGATGGGGATGGGGATGGGGATGGGGAAGGGGCGGGCCCCGCCGGCGGCCGCTCAGGCTCGGGGCCCGGGGCCGGCTGGCTGCCCGCGGGCTGCAGCAGGGCGGCTGAGGTGGGGCCGGGCGGCTGCCATGTCCGCCCGGCGTGCAGCGCGAGGGGGCGGGGGAAGAACCAGCCCCCCGGCCCCGCAGTCCAGCCGGCGGGGAAGGGGAGGAGAGACGCCCCCCGAGCCGGGCCGCGGGACGCCGCTAGGAGGCTGGGACCATCCGACCACGCAGCCTCCGCGGGGCGCATGCCGGGCTCCCGCCGGGCCGCCTACCCAGTGCCCTCGGCTAGCCCCCGGGAGAGGGGGCGGGGGTGAGCCCCTCCATCCCGGCCCTGTGGAAGGTGGCTGGCCGGCCCGGGATGCCTGAGATCCAGGCTGGAGAGCAGCCACTCCCTGCCTTTCCCATTGCCCGCCCGGCGGAAGAGATGCCCAAGGCAAGGGACTGGTCCCGCAGCAACAGATTGAGCAGAGGGGGATTGCTGCTAAGCGGAGTGGGGGTAGGCCTGACCGTGCAAGAGGCCCCCTCCCTTTCTCATCCCCTGGCCAGCAGTGCAGGACGAGGGGAGGTCAGGGGAAATAATGCTGCTAAGGAAGCGGTGGTCGCAGAGTGGGTGGGATCAGCGCAGTGCTGGAGCCAGACCAGGGCAGTGCTGGAGCCAGACCAGCCTCAGCCCAAAATCACAGTTTCTGTGTAGGGCAGACCAGGAAGAAAGGCAGGAGGAGGGGAAAGGGGACCCCCATTCATCCCTGATGCCTTTCATAGAATCATAGAATATTAAGGTTGGACGAGACCTCAGGAGGTCATCTAGTCCAACCCCCTACTCAAAGCAGGACCAACACCAACTAAATCATCCCAGCCAGGGCTTTGTCAAGCCAGGCCTTAAAAACCTCTAAGGCTGGAGATTCCACCACCTCCCTAGGTAACCCATTCCAGTGCTTCACCACCCTTTGATACCAGAGGCGTTCTGTCAAGCGATTAACTTGGCCCATGGGGGTGATAAACAGCCACCATCAAGTTGCTAAGGGGTGGGGAGGATGAACACGTTGCAGGAGACCACTGGCCTTTCCCCTCTCCCAGCCAAGACAGAAGGCGCAGGGGACAGAGACACATTGCCGGTGATGACAGCAGGAACTGGGTATGGGTAGGATGCTGCTGGAGGGGGGCCACAAGTCTGGAGATCATTCCCTGCCCAGCAGAGTAGAAAGAGGAGAGAGCCCCAGGGATGATACAAAAGATGGATGGATATGGTGGTAACAAGCAGAAGGAATTAGGCCCAGGAGGCCTGTAATTTTCTGCTTAGTGGAGTTGCTGGAAGGACACGTCAGAAGCATTTCTTGGGGATTTAATCTGTGATGTGTTATAGCCTCCTGTAGAGGTTGTGAGGGGGGCATCTGTTTAGTAGGAACTAGACAGCTGACACCTTAAAGAAGGATTTTAACCTCAAGGAAAAAATTCAGATCTCTTAAAAAAAAAAAAAAAAAAAACCACCAGCCTAACAGCCAGTCATGTTTCATTCTTGTCTATCATTTTTTGCCTTCCACATTTGTTAACTATTATAAGATCATAGAGAGCAAAGCTGGAAACACCCTGTCTAGCAGGCCCCTAAGGGGTTCATGTGTGTGTTGGGGGGGGAAGGGAGGAGCAGGGTTATGGAGGAAGGATTGCTCCCTAAAGTATATTCTCAAGTGCTAATCACTAAAGGTATTTACATTTAAACAAAAAGGGCTTTTCTTCTTCCCAGCCTCTCTCCCAACTTCATCCTGCAGATGCGATGACAGCATATCTATTTCCATGTTACAGGACTGCAGCCGCAGGTGACAAATGCAGGGCTGTGACTGTTCTGTGGGATCACACAGAAGTTAGGCATGTGGGAGAGAGCTTGTTGAAACACAACTATCACTAGTAATAGCAAAGAACCAGATTGTACCTGGCCTTTATTCAACTGCAGAGCACTGGGCAGGACTTCACAAGGAACCTTCCCCACTCCACTATGTGCCTCTTCCTCAAGGTCAGGTGCAATGGTAATCCCCAAACTCCCCTGTCTAGTGCCCTTGGAGATGCTTCTAAAGGCCATGGAATGCTGCACCAATTCTCCTGCTATTCCCTAGAAGGGTTTATGCCTACAAAACTCCCTGAGGTGACTGTTAGCAGTAATATTACTGTGACAGGTTCGGTCACAGAGATCCCCTTGGGACTGTCACCTTACGTGCTGGAATTACCTTTGAGCCTATTTTCCCTGCCAACTTGGGACGCCAGAACCCTGCCTTTTTGAGCCAGACGTGCTAGCCTGCTCCAACACAGACCCAGGTCTGGTCCACACCCCCAAAGTTGCAGACTTTAACCAAAAACTGCTCAGCAGGTCACCTATCTCCCACATCCAGACACCCAGTTCCCAATGGGATCCAAACCCCAAATAAATCCCTTTTACTCTGTATAAAGCTTATACAGGGTGAACTCATAAATTGTCCTCCCTCCATCACATTGATAAAGAGATGTGCACAGCTGTTTGATCCCCCAGGTATTAATCACTTTGGGTTAATTAATAAACAAAAGTGATTTTATTAGGTATAAAAAGTAGGATTTAAGTGGTTTCAAGTAATAACAGACAGAACAAAGTAAGTCACCAAGAAGCAAAATAAAGCAAAAACATGCAAGTCTAAGCCTAATACATTAAGAAACTGTGTACAGATAAAATCTCACTCTCAGAGATGTTCCAATAAGCTTCTTTCACAGACTAGACTCCTTCCTAGTCTGGGCCCAATTCTTTCCCCGGTACAGTCCTTGTTAGTTCCAGCAAACATCTTAGGTGGAAAACAGGGGCTTTCTCATGACTGCAGCCGTCTTTGTTCTGTTCCACCCCCTTTTATAGCTTTGGCACAAGGCAGGAATCTTTTGTCTCTCTGGGTCCCCACTCCTCCCTTCTAAATGGAAAAGCACCAGGTTTAAGATGGATTCCAGTATCAGGTGACATGTTTACATGTCCTGTGTGATCCCAGCCTCCATTCTTCCAGGGCTGGCCCACACATACCCAGGAACATAGGCGCCGACTCCGTGGGTGTTCCGGGGCTGGAGCACCCTTGGGGAAAAATTGGTGGGTGCTCTGCACCCACCGGCAGCTCCCCACTCACCTCCACTCTGCCTCTTCCCCTGAGCGTACCGCCTGTCCGCTTTTTCCCCCTGGCTCCCAGTGCTTGTGCCGTGAAACAGCTGTTTCGCAGCGGCAAGCACTGGGAGGGAGGGGGAGGAGGGGGAACGCGGTGCGCTCAGGGGAAGAGGCAGGGCCGGGGAGGGGATTTGAGGAGGGGTCCAATAGGGGCAGGGAGGGGGTGGAGTTGGGGCGGGAACTTTGGGGAAGGGGTTGAAATGGGGGCAGGGCCAGGGGCGTGAGAGCGCGAGCACCCACCGGCGCCGGGAAAAGTTGGCGCCTATGCCCAGGAAGGTTTGCAAGTAAAGAGCCATTTACAGGTCATTGATTTTGAAGCACCCTTAATGGCTTCCACTTAATAGGTTTACATCAGTAATACAGGTTTATATCTTATTTTCCTAACTTCAGACATAGAAATAATACATGCAAACAAATAGGATGAACACACTCAGTAGATTATAATCTTTGTAATGCACCTTACAAGACACCCTTTGCATGAAGCATATTCCAGTTACATTATATTCACACTCATAAGCATATTTCCATAAAACATTATTTCCATAAAACAATTACACTACACGGTCGATAGAGTCCCCAGCTTAGGTCCCCCTTGTGCTAAGTGCTGTCCATACATATGGTAAGAGACAGTCACTTCCTCCAAAAGCTTACATTTAGGCATACATACCTCACCTCAAAAATTGTTCCAAGGTTATCCCAAAACCAGATGGGATGGGTATTATGGAACATGGTGGGTCAAAATGATGTGACTAAGTAGGGAGTCAGGTCTGAGTCCCAGCACAGAAAAGAAGCTGATTGAACGGTTGCTTTACATGGACCACAAGTCACTTTGTGTGCCAGAGAAGGTGCTACAATAAAAGGTCACTACGAAGAGTTAGATAGTTCTGTGTGAGAAGCAGCTTGATATTCAGCCTCTTGAAGCACCTCAATATGCAAGAGAAAATATTTGCAAAGATTACAGAGTTGCAGCTTTGGGTTATCCTGGATGACAGCAAGGAAAGGAGTCTTCTATATTCAAAACTGTTTAGAGTGAGACCCTGTGAAGCAGAGAAAGAAGCCAAAGAACTGAGAAAGAGTCAGCACTAGAGTCCAGCAAGGCCCACTACCCATGTCTGTCTGCTGGCAGAAGAACACCCACTGTTATTAACATCAGAGTATAAATTGCACCAAAAAAACCTGCAGTGGTAGGTGTAAACAGGAGTTGGAGTTTGCAGCCATGCCATCTCACAGTGCTCACAGGTGCTTATTCAAATAGACCACTGCTTTGTAACACCCTCATTGTCATCAGTGGCAAATAGAACCCACGACCTTCTACAGCAAAAGCTCCGTTAACTCTACTATTTGAGCTAAAGGAGAACCTCTGTCAGTAAAGAGAAAGTAAGAGTCTGTATGGTTCTTATGCAGACCTTACTTACCATGCCTAGGGCGGCCAGGTGCCTGGTTTTTGACCGAAAGGGGACCTGACAGATCTATTGACCAGACACCCAAAGTCCCGATTACTGCAGGGCAGAAAGGTGCCGAGTCATCACCCACACCAGCCCCTACTTAGCCGGGGGCTGCCTCCTACCTGCCTCAGGCGGCTGCAGCTCCCAGCCCCAGCTCTGCAGGCAAGTCCCTCCCAACCTGCGCAGAGATGGGCAAGAGAGGGGAAGAGCAGTGAGCAATGAGGGGACAGGGAAAGAGGAGAGAATGGGAGCGGGGCCTCAGGGGGAAGAGGTAGGGCAGGAGCGGAGCCTTGGGGGAAGAGGTGGGGCAGGAGTGAGGCCTGAGGGGCAGGGCCTAGAAGGAAGGGGCAGGAGAGAATTTT